TGGCTATGATTGGGTTCTCTGGGGAAGCGAGGTGGTCATCGAAAGTGTTGTCACATATGTTTCTCCATATGGTCCACAGAGAGTTTTTCTTAATGAGTGAAGAGCGGAAAGCTTCGAAACCCTTGAGTGGAGGGGATTGATTGAGTTCGAGGAATAATGTGGCGGGATTAATTAAGAGAGGTAGGTTTGTGATTTTGTTCCATGAAACCTCGATTGCTTGCCAGCTAGATCTAGCTTTTGGGCAATCTATGAAGCAGTGATTTAGGGATTCTATGTATTGGGTGTTGCAGACTTTTGCACCAAGAGTCTTGTTCCGATATGTTTTCATGGTTGCGTCTGCGTGCCAGCCATTGGTTACTGGTACTGCTCTGAAGACTACTAACGATCTTAGACTGGCTATCTTAACCGGTTTTGTGGTGAAGATTGAGGCCGAGGGGGGTTTGAAGAGGGTGTTGGATAGTTGTAGTTCCTCTTTTGTCCACCTGTTGTGAAGAGTGTTGGCTATAGATATAGGTTTGGTGAAGAGGCGGTAACCTAATTTCGGTGTATAATCGATCAATTTAAAGAGGCTTGGGAGAGGGGCGAGGCGGGTGGAGGTATTCCATGTCCATTCGATAGGGTCGCTCTCTAGGTTTTGTACACTTAGTTGGGGTAAACTCTGTTTATTTCTCCTTCTATGATTCTGATTCTTCTCAGGTTTCTGGTTTTGAAGATCCTGACCCATTTTCTAATGTTGGGTCCCACCCACATTTTTTCCATACTCGCGTTGAGAAAGACCCAAGTGACTTGGTCGTAGGCTTTCTGAAAATAAAAAAAATAGGATTGCTGTATTCATCCTCTTTTCTTTGACTTTCTTCGCTGCCTCATTTAAAGTTAAGACATTGTCAAGAACATATCTACCTGGGATGAAACCGACTTGGTCTATATGGAAGCATTTATCTGTGAGGTCCAAAATTATGAAAGTTAATGCCTTTGCCAAAATTTTGTATGGGAGGCTGAGCAGGGAGATTGGCCTATAGTTTCAAATGTCCTTTCGGTCTCCCTTCTTGTACAGTAAGGTCACAACACTACTCAATCGTTCTCCCATACCCCCTTTTTCTCAACTGTCTTTGTAGAACCGAAGCAGGTCATTGCCCATCACCGGCCATAACGTCTCCCATAATTTCTTTGAAAGTCCATCGATCCCTGGGGATTTATCGTTTTTCGTGCTATGGAACAAATGTCAATTCCTCTAGGTAATAGGTTTGTCTAACGTGGTTGTCTGTTCCTGTCTCGTCTAGGTATTGTAGCATTTTGGTTCTTGCTTCTCTTGTGATTGTAGAGGTGGGAGAGGCAGTTTTCTTTGACAACTCTTTCAACCCTTCTATTGAACTCACTCGGCTGTTGGCTTTTATTCTTGAAAAAAGAAGTTTGGTCATTGATTCATTTAGCTCATACTCCGCCATCCTAGCTCTGAGTTGTAGAACTTTCAGTTGCCATTGTCTCCATATTGCCAGTTCTTCCCTTGCTTGCTCGAAAGTCGTGCAATACAGAGTTGAGGAGGGGTTGGTTATCAAGTTATTTTCTGCAATCTTTAGTGATATTTCTAGAGACTGCATTCTCAGCATTCGCTCATTTGCCATTTTCCGAGATAATTGAGCCACTGATTGAGATAGTGAGAGGTAACTCTCTTGTAAGCATTTCCATCTATCTTGACCTTCTAGGAATATGCCTCTGGAGTTTTGCCATCACTCCTGTACACAGTCTGGGAAGACCTGGCTGAGAAGGAGGGAGTTGTTCAGCTTATGGAAGCTGGCTCCTCTCGTATGTATTGTTTGTATCTGAGAATTAATGCGACCGGTTTGTGGTCTAGTCCAGAGTAGGGGGCAAGGGCCAGAATGTCAGCCTCCTTGATGGTTCCCATTAGAGACTCTGAGACCAGGAAGTAGTCTAAGCGTGAGAATGCTGTGTGATGAGCGTGGTTTTTCTTGACCAGCGAGAATGCTTTTCTCTCTGGGTGGAGTGTTCAGAAAGGATCCACTAGGTTATGATCCATCATCAACTTGAGGACTGGAGATGCTTCTTGAGAAGCCCGAGTTGCCGCTGTTCGAGAGATTCTATCGTTGGTTGGGTCAAGGGCTGCATTCCAGTCCCTTGCTATGACGCATGGTGAGAGAGGTGTAACCAGATCTCCAAGCGTGGACACAAACTCTGCTCTATCTGATGGGATATTGGGTGCATATACGTTGATGAGTCTGAGCTCCTCTTCTTTCCACTTGAGGTCCATCATCCACCATCTCCCTGTTTCGTTGTCAGCATACATTCCTTGAATTGTACCCGCTGTGTAGAAGCGTGAGGGTTTGGGTATTAGGATAGCCATACTCGTGCTTGAGTTGTTGTCTGAGGCCCAGATTTCGTCTTTGATTCCTCCTAGTTTTCTTGTGAAGAGTTTCCTGATTTTATGATGGTCCTCTGAGTTGAATAAGTGTGTTTCTTGCAAGAGGATTTTGTTAGCTGGTTTACCTGAGTAGTCCCTCAGGCCTCTAGTTATGTCGTTCAGTTTGTCTTCCTTTGCAGTAATGTTTCCCAAGCCATTAACGTTCTAGCTTCGTATACTGATGCCTTGGGCTTTCTAGTTCACCTTTGTACCCTTTTCATTGGCTTCTCTTCTCGGCAATTCCATGAGCAAGGCTGTCAAGTGAGTCTTGAAAAAAACATAAAACTAGATCTAAGAGGTGCCTGGCTGTCCAATCTCCATCAGCTCATCAGACTCTCCCGGTGGGTTTGACTGGGTTTTTGTCAGGGAAACGTCCATCCTATACTTCCCTACCCTGCTACTCCCTTCCTTTACAGGAGTTGTCACATAATCTGGCTCATCCTCATCCGTTGACCAGACCTCCTCATCCTCCTCGATCTCTTCTTCGAGCATTCTTTGCGGTAGTATATTTCCATATCTATTGGGTATGTTCTGGAGTCGAAGTCACCGTCCCCCTAAAAAAATCCCTTGCTAATCAGATCTGCCAGGGAGCGGCCTGTAGTTCAGCGGGGATAACTATTCCTGACAGCACACTGTATGGGATAGACGTTACTGTGCTCCACGGCCGCCACCTCATTCCTCCCTTTAGCTTAGTGCCCTCAGGCATCTTAGAGATGAGAGGGGAGAAGGATCTGGGAGTTCCAAGCTCGGGTTGGTTGATCTGATCCCTTCTCATCATTTGAGTTTCCTTGGGGTCTGTTTGGACTTCTGCATCTTTCTGGTCTCCCGGTCTGTCATCCTACTGGAACGCCAGGGGGTCTGTCTCAAAGACACCCAGTGGATAGGCTGTTGTGATCTTCTCCTGCAAGATGGTGGCCACATTCTGGCCTTCGTCAATCCTAGGGATTGCGAAGGACACGCTCGTGGCCACTTGCCATTCTTTCTTCTCCTCCATGTAGCGAGCAGCCAGTAACCTTGCAGATGTCGCTTGGCCCAAGACCTCGGGGGCCTTGCCGTCTGCAATGTGTCTGAGTGAAAAAAATTCTGGCTCATAGGCTGAGTTACCTTCTCAGCCTGCACTTCGACCACTGCAATTTCCTGCTCAATCTCAGATCTGGCTGATTTTTCTGTGGGTCCCGTTGCTGACTGATCCTTACTGCTTGCTTTTTTTTCTGGTTTGTGGAGGTCCTCCACTTCTTTGGTCTCAAGTCCTGCAATGTTTCTTTGGAGTCCACCTGTGTTATGTCTTGTTCTCTCACTCTTCTTTTCTGCGTATCTGAATGCCGCATACTCAGAAAGTTCCTCTGCATTGACCAACAGATCGAACTGGTTGGACGAAGTCTTGATACCTGCTACTAAACCTTTCTTTTGTTCTTTCCATGTGTTTCATGCAGGTTGTGCGGATATCAAAGAGATGTTCACATTCAGCTTTTGCTTTTTTCCACGCAGTCTCTCAGCCATTGGAAGGATCACTTTGCTGGCTCCTCCTCAGTGTTGGGAGTCGGGGCGGCAGTGGTGTCAGCGGATTTGAAATTGGTTGTTGGGTACCCTCCGTGGACTGTGACAGTCCCTTGTTAGCTGTGTCGGTGCCGTTCCTCTTCTTTGGTTCCGCTTCTCTTCCCTCGTCGAGCTTCTCTTCGTCCAAGGTTCGTTTACTGTCCATCAGAGTTTCCTCTTTCTCCTTGAAGCTGATGATTGCTTTGATTCTTCCCTGTATTTTTTACGTTTCTTTCCGGTATTCTTCTTGCTCGCTGACCGAATCCAAATCCCACAACAGATTCTCCCTCGAGAGTCATTGAGGGGGACAAGTTTGATATTTGCTGGGTTCCAAGTCTCCTTCCCTGTGGCCTTCTTCTGCCACCCGCTGTCAGCAGGTGGAAAGATGTCCGTTTTTTTGGTTCCAGGTTCCTTGTCTGTGGCCTTCTTCTGCCACCTGCTGTCGGCAGGTGGAAGGATGTCCGTTTTTTTGGTTTCAGGTTCCTTGTCTGCAAAGTGCCGGACCCACTTTGGGTCCTCCAAGTTGTCATCAAAACCCAACCATCATAGGTTGGGCCCATGATGTACCAGGTGCCTGGAGCGTCCTCTACCTCAACCACCATGTTGGCATGAAGCTTTCTTTCCTTCTGTTGTTTTGGGAATTTGGGGCATGTGGGGTCGGACCCTATATGTCCCCTTACTCTGCATCTGAAATAAATGGGTGACGATTTGGTCGACATGGTAATTTCTACCTCCCTGTCATTGATCTGGAGTGTCCAAACCAGAGGGAATACCGGCGGGTCGTTGGTTTTCACTTCCAGGATGGCCGTCATTGTACCAGAGTGTGGTGATAGGAAGTCCGACATCCGTATAATCTATTTAAGGATTTTATTGGCCGGATACTGTCTGTCGAGTCTGTCCACCACCAGCCCGTGGTACCCTGGACCAATCCTGTCGAACTGCACCCAAAATTTTTCTTTCAACAGAGTTTGTAAGAGACCGAGAAGGATGGGTTGGGCCTCGTATTTGTATGCTTCTTCCACTGGGAGATCGTGCAAAATTGATCCATTACAGTTCCTGGATTTCATTTCAGAGGCAATCCGTGCGTGATCTTCAGAATTGAAGATCACCATCACAGCTGTTCGACCCAGGGTCAGCAATTCGTGTGTAGCTTTTAATTTGTCTTCCTTGTTGATTGTCGAATTTGTCACTGTAATCCATTTCCTTTTTGCTGCTGGCATCTGCACCACTTCTGGCAAAGTTGAAAATGACTGCATATTTTTCATGCAATTCGTCAAGCTCCGGTGCTTTGCCATCTGGGTACTTCCATATCACTGTTTCCTCCTCCCTACCTTCCGTGTTCTTGTGTTTTTTTTTTTTTTATTACTTGCACCTTGGTTTTCTCGATGAGGAATTTAAGTGCTTCATTATCGATGACTGTAGAGAGTGCTTTGTTTGTCTGTGATGTGCAACTGCCTGTTTTGGGGCTCTGGAGTGTTTGCTTGAACGTCGTTGGACCCCTGGTACTCCTGGGGCACTGCATTTCGAGGCTTCGACTTGTGAGTTGGGCTGGACTCATCCGTGAACTCGATATGAGGGGGTTGGTGTGGCAGCAGAGGAACAGGGGAGAGAAAGGTGTGGGGGGGAGGAGGGGGATGGGTTGGATGGAATTGGGTACACGTTGGGAGATAGTGAGTAGTTGGACACAGGTGGGAGAGGCAGAAGGGGGGGGTACTACCGTACTAGAGGGTGCTAATCCAAATGTGGTAGGTGCTGGGTTAGGTGGGGGGGGGGGGGGGGGGGGGGGGGGGGGGGGGGGGTGGCTTTGGCGAGGCGTCCTTGTGGGGTGGCAGGGGGAGAGCGGTGGGACGGGATTTTTTTTTTTTAAACCCTCAGTGTCGCTTCTTGCGGTCACTATAGTTTCTGCGGGCGCTGGCCGTGAGGGTGTAAATGATGGGGGGCAGTGGCGGGAAGTGAGGGGTTGCTGGGCGGATAGCTAGAGGAAACACAGCATGGAGGGGATCGGGGTGAGGGTCAGTCCTGGATCGGGACAGAGTATAGGAGTAATTAAGGGGGTGGGTTTTCGAGAGTGGGGCCAATTTCTACGGGGTGAGCAGGAAGAGGGGCGTGGGATCGATGGAACAACTGGAGAGGCTATGGAGCTGGGTTATCACGGTGATGACAGGAGATTTGAGGTAACGGGATGAGAATGAAAGAGTTAGAATTGGTTGGTTGTGAGGGGGGAGTGAGCGTTCGGGCGCCAGATCGGGCGCGAGCATCGGGCAGGTCCCGGGGGGAGGGAATTATAGTGTTAGGATTTTAGTAAGTTAGGGAAGGGGGGGGAGAAGGGGTGCGATCCTGTTTGAAGCCAGGCTGGGTTAGCTATTAGAATTCAGGGGCGGGATGGTGAGACAGGAGCATTTGCTGGTTAGAATGGCAGGGGCTGGGTAGGGCTCGATGGGGAGTGGAGGTTAGGATTTGGGCGAGCAGAGAACAGAAAAAGACAGGTGTCAGGGTCGAAGACCAATTGCGTGTTAGAAAATTCTCACTTCAAAATCTTGAGTCGTGCTCTGAAGCCGTCCTCAAAGTGTCGTCTAACGAGTGCATTCGTCATCCTTATTACAAATATTGTCTGCCTTGTTTTTTCTTGAAATAGGCGTGGTTCACTAGTCCTTTCTTGTCTTGTCAATGCCAATGTCGTAATGATGTCGATTGTCGGGATTCCTCTACCCATTTGTATCCTGAAGTCTCGTGGAAAGGGCCAGCGATCACCCAGGATCTACCTTTCCCCCTACGCCCGGGAATCGGAGCGGAGACAGGAGACGAGATGCCTATCAGCAGCCAGTGCTAGCAGGCAAGCGTGCTCGGGGCGCGCGCGTAGGAACCACACAAAATTTGAATGATGGCGCGAAGCCACGGAAATGGCTGCAGGCGCGAAGCCACGGAAACGGCTGCGGGCGCGAAGCCACGGAAATGGCTGCGGGTGCGAGCGGCGTGGGCCGCCGGTGCGAAAAAAAATAGCGCTCGTCGTAGCGCTAACCGAGAGGCGCAGGCGCGAAAACCCTCCCGAAATTCTTTTGTTAATCGATCAATTCTGGGAGTTTTGCTGTTTTTCATTATTTGAACCACAAATTGAAATTCTTCTACGGAGAGTGGTCTATCCAGCATTTCGGCCTGCTCCAGAGAAATTGTTCTGTCAAGATGGTGCAGCATTTTGGCTCAGCCCTCCTGATTGCTGGGCAGGGTGGGGTTTGGTGTGTTACCGTGGTAAAGCTCAACACAGGTGGTCGTGGCCACTTTGAGCATACCCTCGCTTTCTCTAAGAATATCCTGTGGCCCATCAGTCTCTTGTAAACCTTCAATAGTGTTGGCTCTATGATTAGCCTCGATTCTTGTGAAAAAAATTCAAAAAATGCTTGGACATAGACCTATTAAGCTCATAGTACGTCAGTCTGTCTCTCACCTGCTGACCTTTTAATTCCCACTGCCTCCAAATAGCTAACTCTTCCCTTGCCCTTTGAAATTGCCGAAGGCCAACTTCAATCACAAGTTCACAACCCTCATCCAATGTAATTTCGCTTGTTTGTTTTGACGAACTTCTGAGAAATTTTGACTATTTTAACTTTGTGTATTTACTATTTACTATCTAGTATTTACCCTCCACGCTATCGGACGGTCATTCTGTCAAGATAATCCCATCATCAATAGTCAATCCACCAATACCCCAGATGAACAGAGCACCCACATTTACCGGCGTGCAACGAACATCCCGGTGGAAAGCACCAAAATATACGTGATCTGTGATTGCCGATCCTCGCAGTCCAGAGGCACTCATGTATTTTCAAGGGCACTATCGGCACGCAGCCCACGGCCCATATGCTTTTAGGGGAAGGATGAAATGAGTAAATATAATGACAAGGCCATGTCCTGAATGTCATAATCTAGCTTCATCATTAAATGGCTCAGAATTATTGCCTAATTTTTCAGAAAATAAAAAATGCATAGTTCTGTCATCTAAAATTCACGAAGTAAATTAATAGATACTAACTGACTGTCGACCTGCCGAGGCACGATACCATCACAATCATGTTACCAAGTAATACCAACCAATATCAATGAGATGGCAGCAAATTAAGAATCTCATCAGATCGGAGAGAAAGCAAAAATTCAGCAAAATGCTCCTTGTCTCTGTACACAGTACTACAACCCCCACCCCCACCCCCCCCAAAGAAGAACAAGAGAAAAAAAGGCGCTTCCCCTTTCGCCCTCTCTCTTCCACACAGAACCCTCCCTCTCTCTTTCTGACACACATTTCTCTCTCTCTCTCGCACACACACACACACACACACACACACACACACGCACACACACACACACACACACACACACACCACTGCTAGCAACCTTTGATTTTTCTTGATTTTGCACTGAGCAGTAGAAACAACAACAACCGGGTTCATCAGTACCCTGTCAAATTCCTTCCACTAAATCCTCGTTCTTCCACAGCTCCACAACCCATTTACAACCCCCCCNAGCGCAGTACAGCCCCCAACTCAGATTTGAAAAAAAATCAGTGGATGGTTGTTTTCTGACTGGTCGGCGGACCGCCGACCGGTCGGCCCCGATCGATCGGGGCAAAACGGTCGGCGGTTGGGGTCGGCGGTCGGCGCCGGTGGAACCCTGCTTCCCACCCAAAAACTTTGGGGAAGGGTAAAGGAACAAGGAAGGAATAGAGGCTGCTAGCTTTCTGAGTAGGATCTTGCATCCGGTAAGATGGATAAAGAGGCGGACCCCCGGGTGGGAATTAGGTCTTAGCAAGGGGCGCTTGAACCCGGTTTCCAGCTCTGGTGGTTTTCACAGTCTGTTTCATGCTCATGTATCTCTCTTCACTTTACCCATGCACTTTCGTAATGGACGCTGAGGCCAATTCTCAGCACGTGCTGCTCCCCACGAATAGATCGGAGCCTGTGTGTTAAAAAACAAAAAAGCAAACAAACAAACAAACAAAAAAAAAGTATGTGTTGCTGCTCCGTTGAGTAATCCTACCATCCAAGTGATCCTTAGAGACACTTGAACGAACCTCCATCAATCATGCCGTAGCATCACCACCCAGAGAGGAGGTTGCAAAGATGATTTGGTTATTGCTTGGCATAGGCATGGATGCTTAGAACTAGCATCACAGGATGATGATGGACTCTCAGGAATGCTTGCTGGTAAAGACTGAGGACTTTCCCCATTGCCATTTCCAATTCCACAAACTCCGGTTAACCTAATCACAAAGACGACGATGTACGTTATACGGATGAGTAGATCCACTATGACAGTTGACAAGCAAGACCCATAGAGAGAGGCATAACAACAAGCTAGACAAACTTTCTCGATGAAGAAAAAGAGCTGTTCTAGGCTGTTCCCAAAAATGTGGATTCCGCAAGGGGAAGTCTCCCCACTTATCCGATACCCAGCTAAGACGGTGCGGATGGCATAGCTAGAGAGGGGGCAGTCATGCAGCAACAGATCATGAGGAGTTTCCAGTCCGGAAGAAGAGGCCAGGCTTACGGCCGGTGGAATAGAATGGAGCTGCGTCCATAACGCTGCATTTCTCCAAGCAACTAAAGGAGAACGAAAAAGGGTGATTCACGTCGGTGAAAGTGAAGTTCGACAGTGATCATCACTTTGGTCTGGTTGCTTACAATGGAGTTGCGCTCAGGATTTGCACTTACAGCTTCCTGTCTCTCCAGTCATTTGGTACTTCTCCACTCCTTGGTGAATAAGCTTGCTAAGACCAAAATCAGCCACCTTCAAATGCCCCCCATCCCCCAAGAGAAGGTTCCTGCAAAAGAGACACAACCGCTGCTGTAAACAGAAGTGCAAAATGTATTTGCCTTCAGAGCCTTAAACTGTATGCTGCAAGCAGAACTTACGTGGATAGATCAATAACAAAAGAGAGAAAACCAGGGGGCCCGCAGGGGGGGAGACAAACACATGCACACACACACGCACACACATACACACACACACACACACACACACACACACACACACACACTATGATACATGCCCAGTTGGGCAATGTATGCACAGTCAAGGATCCGCAAGGTGGAAAAGGACTGAATGGACAATGCAGTGTTAGTGGAATCTCAACAAGCAGTGTACATCCTGATACATACAAAATGGCACTTTGTAGCGCAGTGGAAGACTTGTATATAAGTCCTGACCTGACCGGGACTGACAGGATATCCCATCATAATTCACACATGTGAGAGGAGGAGGAGATACCAAACTGTTGCATACCCTAATGGTGCAAACGAGAACAAGGACCGACCTCCCTCACATAGTACAAGATAGCGCAGCGGAATGCTAGGATGCCAATTATCAACCCAATCAATGTTGCAGTGCAGACTAAACATACATCATCATCATTACAAGTTGTGAAGGGGCCTGGCGCTCACACAGGAAGAATGCGCCAGCCCCAAACATCCACAGATGAAGAGTAGGGGGATTGGACAAAGATGAGGGAGAAGATGGGAATGTCGTCACACAAGTGTCCCTGGTATCGATCCCAAATAGTCCCTCGTCAATGTCTCTATCCCAAAGTCGAGTCTGTATCCCGAGGTCGTCAACATTCCCAAAGTCACCAATCTCTCTCTCGCTTGTAGTCTGCTGTGGCCGAGAAGTCAGATAGTGAGAGGGTGAGGAAGAGATGGTGGACGGAGAGAGGAAGAAGAAGAAAACTCTCTCTCTCTCTCTCTCTCTCTCTCTTCTTATACACATCTAGATGTGTATAAGAGACAGGTTCATTGAAGAAGTCCTTTTCTTGGGTCTCAGACCAAGCCGAGGCACAGCTTGTCACAACTCTCATGAAATCAATGGCTGAAACAAATGCGGACCGTGGGCCCTAAGCTGTTTGCTTGGCTGCTGCTGTCTTGGTCATACCACAGTACACGTCTCGTCAACCAAGCTATTCCACATGCGCTCGTGGTTATCTGTTTCCCTTCGAGTCATCAATCAGCTCAGTACATGTTCTCCCCGAGGTCCGGGGTCCATTCGCCTCTGCGTATCAAAGTCAGCTATGCTCGTCTCTCTCTCTTGACGATGATGACCCTTGAGCTATTCTTTGCAGAACCCTCCGTGGCTCCAAGTAGTTTGCTTGGATGCAATGACCTGACTTCTCGCCACGGTCCATATCCCTTACGCCCATCTCAAAAATGTCCACTGACTCCACTCATTACTGCACCTGCATTCTCCTTTGGCTCCGCTCAAAACTGGACATGCTGGCTGCTATTCAGATTCCCTCAGTTTCTCTGTATCAAAGCCCGCTTTGCACACGCCTCTCCTGCATCAGCTAGAAACGATTGCTTCCACACCGACCTTGCACACACACCTCTCTCCGGCGAAAAAAAAAAAAAAAAAAAAAAAAAAGCCTACTTCCTCTGGCTCAGTTGGAAAATGCTCACTTCCTCTGGCTTAGTAGAGAAGAGGCTCACTTCGTCTGGCTCAGTCGAAAGAAAGCTCACTTTGTCTGGCTTCAGTTGAAGAAAGCTCACTTTTCTCTGGCTCAAGTCCAGCTTTCTCCCCCATGGCGCCATAGTTGATATCAAGGCTGCCAGTCACCACTGGCGACCTCGAAAAAAAGCCCATGTTTTGCGTTCATGGTTCCGGTACATTCAAAGTGCGGATGCTCATAACATCATGCCCTAGCGGGCACTGTTGTCTCAACAGTTTGAACCACCAGCCCCTCTGCCTGACTCAGAAATACATACAAATGAAACAAAAGTATCCAGACGCCGACGAACAGAGTCATTGAAAGCCCAAAAAGTGACCAGGTGCCAAAAACTCTGCATCCCTTTACCTAACCTGTGTCCCAGGTTTGGTATTGCCTTTACTTTGCCTTCACTTTGCTTCAGGCACTACAACCACCACTGAACCTGCAGGATGGGTTGTATGTCTTGGAAAAGGAAGTGGTCACTGGTGGTTCCAAACACTACCATGCATCCAAATGGGAAACCAGGTTGCGCAACTCATTGCCAGTAAGCTGTCCACACCTGATATGGGTAGTATTGTGGCGGACCGATTCCCAAAGCGAAACGAGGCCCCAAAGTGGAGTTACAATGGGCAGCATTGCCACAAATCAGCACGACATCTCGATGACAGTGGGAAGCGTAAATGCTGCGCCAGTGTAGGGTTCCGGTTTCCTCTTACGCTGTTGTTAGGTCCCTTCACCTGGGCCTCTCCTCGGCCAATCTGTACATGGTCCGCAGATTCCTCTTTCCACTTCGCCTCAATCCGAATTCAGAATGGTCTGAACTGGGTGTTTGCACATTGGCTGCACCTGTGTACGTCGACTCCAGGGTGTTGTTGGCAGAAAGAGTCTGATCAGTTCATGCATGTTGCGAGTGTCAACAGTATGTGTGCTTCGGCTTGCAGGTTCTCCTGGAATCTGCTGCATTGATCATGACGAAGCCCCTCCACACACCAGCAGCCAGTGCTCTGTTCTCACTTGGCCTGTTAGAGAAGATACCAAGTTTCTCCATTTGTTGCAGGAAATATCACTCCTCTTGGATCCTGGCAGCGAAGCTGATGAGCGGAAAAAGGGATTTGAACCCTCGACCTTAGCCTTGACGAGTCTATACTCTACCGTTAAACCACCAACAATACCCCAGGGGGTCCTAGGCCCCCTCTGGGGAGGCTCTGATGCAAATGCATATGGACCTGCACGGCACACCGATTCATCCACCGCGTTAACGGCCTAAAAACGTGGAGGTACTGGTGGTTTAAGCTATTTCCGCCATCAATCCACTATATCCCGTGGTGCACTCGCTGTGAGTGAGTGAGAGGCCAGAGGAAAGAAAACGGTCTTGTGAGCGTAGCTCGCCAGCAGAGCAGAATGGGCCTAAGTTGATTTGAATTACTGAATACACAACCGTGGATGGGCTGTACATAAGGAATCATCAGAGACCGTCGATGATCTCACATCTTGGAAGCCATGGACTCCTATTTGGGGATATTTGGAGTGTAACACCTAGCTACCGGTTGGTCACATAAGTGTTTCCATGTGGATGGGCTGAATGAATGTGCTTTGCCCTTTTTTCCTCCACGCCGTCCACGGTGCATTACACATCCTTTGCAGCTTGTTGCCCCAACGTCATAAAGGATACACCAGCAAAAGTCGAGCAGAGATAAAGCAAGCTGTCTCCAGCATTCTTACATGCCCCCTGAGCACTCCATTGCCCATAACACTGCAATTGGCATCAGCAGCTATGAGCAGGGCAACTGGCACACTTGCTGATGGAATTGGCACGCGTAACCTTGCTCAACCATGGACCATGCTCAAGCCTCTCACACAGGCCTACGCTTAACCATGGTAAGCCTCGGCGCATACCAAGCCACCATTGCCAAGCAGACAAAGCCTGCTAGCAAAGCATCATGATGATGGGCATGTTGAGCATGAGAAAACACCATGCCAAGTTTGCTAAACATGCTATACCACATTGCGTAGGCATGCTAAGCATGTTTAGTGCATCAATAGCACATAATCCACATGTTACAGCATGAACAGAGCATGTTAAACATGGTAAGCATGTTGTTATAACCATTCTATGCCTCATGAGATAACTCATGTAGAGCATATTGATGTCAAAGATGTTCAGCATGCTATATATACCTCAGTGCTAATCAGGCAAAGAATGTTGACCATGGTAAGCATGATATAGCTCAGGAGTCAGTACTAATCGGGTAAACAGTGTTGACATGCTAAGCCTCATTAGCTATACGTGAAATAGGCATGCTATCAAGTATGATAAATTGATAATCCTCATTGGCTGGGCATGTTGAGGAGGTTAGACTGCGTGCAATGCCTTACAGGCCTCCTAAGTTCTCTTGGCGCGTTATCTAGGATGTTAATCCGCATTGACTACGCGTGTTAAGTACGGGGGGTTTCAGTGAGTTATTTTTAGAAATGAATCAAATGACAGGAAGACGCAGTGGTATGATACCAGATGCAAAACTGCACACCTGCAGGCACAGACATAAATGCGTAGAGCGAGCAACACCTCCTATCGTCATTCTGTCTGTCACTACTCGTTAATAATTGGCGAAAATGAACGTGTCGCAGCGGAGGCATGTGCTATTACACCAAAAACAGTTGAAGACAGACTTTTCTGCAGGAGAGCCCTGTTGGAAGATTCTGCTTGTTGGCTTGCCTGCTTGGACTTGGGGGGGGGGGAAGCATCTCTTTAAAGTTTAAACACCAATCAGCGCTTGACAGTAACTTGGGTCTTCCTGATTGAAAGGGGGGAGGAGGGGTTAATCGATGTTGATCTTTGCGCTGCAGCATACCACGTGCCCGTTGTTGTTGTATGCTTTATTTTTGTCTCAATGGCCGCTTGTCATCTTCTTCTGCATTTTGTCTTCACACTTGTTCGATCGCAACAACTCTGACAATCCCCTTTCCCCAAAGTTTCTTCCCAATAACACTGCTGATGTGTCCATCCCCTCTGAGCCCCCAAGCTGAATGTCATGGGCTCCGAAATGTTCCGGCTTGCACGAAAACGACAAGACCTTAGACCGCATGACGCAGGGGACCCGGTGGAATGCTGCCACACACAGGCTGCCAGAGAGATTCCTTTCAGGTTGAGATTGGCCCCATGTCTGCACTTACACCGATAAATTGTTCTCCATCTCCTCCAGGATATTGATAATTTTACTGAATGGCGGGCGTGCTTGTGGATCGGCATGCCAGGATTGGGAGATCATCCTGAAAGTAAGGGACAAAGCAAATTGTCCAGACATGACAAGATCAAGCTCCTTAGTCAGAGTCGCGACTGATGAAAA